CTTGTCCGTGCCAGAGGCACAAACGTGAGCAAGGCAGCCCCAGACGTGGAACGCAAACGCGTCACCGGGGGACCTGGTCCAAAGGAGGGTTGGCGAAACCTGCGGCCGCTGGGAGTGTGGCCACAAGTTAAGCTGGTGAGCTGCGTAGCGGACAGCGAACGGCCACAAAAATGGGGGGCATCGGCATGAATCATGGAGGTACGAGCAACCTCCATGACCAAGCCGATGCGGCGCTCAGCAACCCCATTCTGCTGTGGCGAGTCCGGCAAGGTGTACGACTGGGTGATGCCCTCCGCACAACAGAATTGTCCAAGCCGACCAGAGGCGAACTCGCCGCCACGGTCAGAGTGGAGACACAACATGGGGAGACCGCGGTGAAGATGCGCAGCCACAACCCACGGGAGAAGAACGTTGGGCACATCGGGAAACACCGCTCTAGGGGAAACACCGTGGTGTAGCGCGTGTAGTCGTCGACGAGCACACGAAAGTAGCGCTCACCGCGCGGTCCGGGGACGGGGGCTGGGCCCCAAACGTCCAGGTGCAGGGTCTAAAGGGGAGTAGTAGCAGGGCGAAGCGAGGAGGAGTGAGGGGCACGGCGGAGCCGGCCCTCGACGCAAGGCGTGCACGGTGGCGCAGTCGAGGGGGGAAGTGCGGGGAGCGACGCAGGGAGGCCTAAGAGAAGACCGTGCTGAGACATGTGACGCAGGCATGGGAGAGCAGGGTGACCTAAGCGGTGGTGCCACAGATGAGACGGGTGTATGAGGGACCGACACGAGCAAGCTGCAGCGACCTGGGAGGACTTACCAGCGGGGGGGGAAGCGGTGTCGAGGGGAAACAGACCGGACACCGGGTCCCGGGGGAACGTCGCAAGGGGGGAACCTGAGACTGCCTCGGTATAGACAGCGAACCGCTCGTGCCCGGGGAACGTGGTGGTGACGCCGAGGTCCTGAAGACGGCGGACACTGACCAGGTTCCTGGAGAACGAGGGAACGTGGAGGCCTGTAAGAGAGCCCGAGGGAACGGCTGGACAGGGAAGGGAAGTGGAGCTGCGAGCGACGACAGGACCCGTGGAGGGGTCAGCGAGAGCGACAACAGCAGGCGCAGCAAGCGGCATGAGCGTGGAACGGTCGCGGAAGAAGCAGGCAGAAGCACCGGAGTCGAGAGTGAAGGACAGCGAGGCAGTAGCGGAGGCCGGGAACGAAGCCGGTGCAGAAACTAGGCTAGGCAAACTAGGCAGTCCTACGCCTGACGTAGCAGGGGAGGCTAAGCTACACAAAGGTGCTACGCCTAAACTAGAGTACACAGGGCAATAAGATCCAGCAACACTAGAAGCGTCAGCATACAAGGCATGCAAAGTAGCACCTATCTTATCCATATCTAATGCAAAGATTGGCACGCCCTGGCGAAGCAGGCTGTGCCAGTCGGGGAGGTCCGGGGCCGGGCCAAAGCGACGACGAAAGAGATCGTCGAGGCGGCGGAAACAGCAGGCGGTCGGGTGCGGGCGGCGGCACAGAGTGCCGCAGAGAGGCCCGGTCTAAAGCTGGTATTGGCAGGTCACACCAACGGAGCTGCCGGTAGACGCCAAGCTGCGCGGGCCGCTATCACGGCCACCACCTATGGAAGTGCCGGGCCAACCCGGGGGGAGACGAGCCCACAGCTGGGGCTGGGACAGCTGCTGCGACGACTGCGACTGCTGCGACGGCTGCTGCGGCTGCTCCTGCTACTGGGGCGACGGCTGCTGCTCCTGACTAGCGGAGGCAGTCCCCTCAGTAGATCCACTGTCCCCGGTACCACCACTACTAACGCCAGCTCCACCACCACGCCCTCCCTGGCGGCCACGACCAGCATGGCGCGAGCGCTGCTGCGGGTGTACCGCAGCTGCAGTCTCAGTCAGAGGGGTCGCAGTGGCGACCGCAGCCGAAACGTCAGTAAACGTGCACTGGGAGGGGGCACAGCCGTGAAAGATGGAGACTGCCGGCGCACCGCTCGACTGAGCGATAGTGCGCTGGCGAGTCTCGATCTCGGTCAGGGCGGTGACAAAGTCGGGCAGGGTAAGATCACCCGGGTGCTGGCTAAGAATGTGGTCGCGTGCACTAGCAAGGCGGTCAGGCAGGCGCATAGCGATAAAGTAGAGGGTCATGCAGAAGGGGGGAGGGAGCGCAGTGAGCTGGGCAGCAGTGCTAGCAGTGCGGTAGCGAGATTCTAGGGCGCGCAGGTGAGTGGCAAGGTCAGCAACAGTAGGGAAGGAAGCAAGGTCTGGGAAAAGCATAGGGAAGAGCAGGCAGCCTGCATTAGCGGAGGCAGGCGTGGAATAGCGAGCAACAACAGCTTCTAAGTAGGCCTTGGCTGTATCAACTGTAGCAAAACGCGAACGCTCAGACACAGGGAGGGCGTGACGACCTTTGCAACTGCATCGCGAGAGTCCCAGACAGCACAGGCAAGTGCAGCAGCAGAGAAAGTCTCACGCTCAGCAGAGGTGGGGTCAACAGGGAGGTGAGCAGGCGCAGGGGGGCGGGGGAGCAAGCCATCAGCATGGAGAACCAAGGAGTGCCCATCATGTCGCTGACCTGAGAGTTGACGGCGGAGATCAGACAGCCAGGCGACGAAGTCAACCGCGTGGCCCTCAGCGTCCAGGCGAAGGACGAAGTCAGCCATCATGCAGGGTCAGCGACACAGGGACACAGCGGCACAGCTCCACAGGACACAGCGGCACAGGGACACAGCAGCACAGCTCCAGGGGAACGTCGGCAGGACGCTCCGGCGCTGGCAAGCAGGAAACACGAGGCCGGAGACCCGAGGAACCTTGCCGAGCAGAAGACACGGAGCCACAGGAGCCGGGCGGGCACTGGGCAGGGCGGGCGCAACAGGCCGGGCGGGCGCAACAGGCCGGGCGGGCGCAACAGGCCGGGCGGGCACGAGAAGGGGCCGGGCGGGCGCTAGGAGGGGCAGGCTATGAGGGGGCGCGAACGGCCAGGGGGGGAGGGGGGCTAGGAGCGGGCGCGACGGCCAGGGGGCCAGCAAGGTGCGGGCGCGAACGGCCAGGGGGGCGGCTAGGAGCGGGCGCGACGGCCAGGGGGTCGGCTAGGAGTGGGCGCGAACGGCCAGGGGGCGGCTAGCAGCTGGCGCGACGGCCAGGGGGCCGGTTAGGAGCGAGCGCGAACGGCCTGGGGGGCCGGCTAAGGGCGGACGCGACGGCTAGGGGGCCAGCTAAGGGCGGGCGCGACGGCCAGGGGGTCGGCTAGGGGCGGACGCGACGGCCAGGGGGCTGGCTAGGGGCGAACGCGACGGCCAGGGGGCCAGCTAGGGGCGGGCGCGACGGCCAGGGGGCCGGCTAGGGGCGGGCGCGACGGCCAGGGGGCCGGCTAGGGGCGAACGCGACGGCCACGGGGCCGGCTAGGGGCGGGTGCGACGGCCAGGGGGCCGGCTAGGGGCGGACGCGACGGCCAGGGGGGCAGCTAGGGGCGGACGCGACGGCCAGGGGGCCAGCTAGGAGCGGGCGCGACGGCCAGGGGGCCGGCTAGCGGCGAACGCGACGGCCAGGGGGCCAGCTAGGGGCGGGCGTGACGGCCAGGGGGCCGACTAGGGGCGGACGCGACGGCCAGGGGGCCAGCTAGGGGCGGGCGCGACGGCTAGGGGGGAGGCTAGGGGCGAACGCGACGGCCAGGGGGCCAGCTAGGGGCGGGCGCAACGACCAGGGGGCCGGCTAGGGGCGGACGCGACGGCCAGGGGGGCGGCTAGGGGCGGACGCGACGGCCAAGGGGCCGGCTAGGGGCGAACGTGACGGCCAGGGGGCCAGCTAGGGGCGGGCGCAACGACCAGGGGGCCGGCTAGGGGCGGACGCGACGGCCAGGGGGCCGGCTAGGGGCGGACGCGACGGCCAGGGGGCCGACTAGGGGCGGGCGCGACGGCCGGGGGGCCGGCTAGGGGCGGACGCGACGGCCAGGGGGGGCCAGCTAGGGGCGGGCGCGACGGCGGCTAGGGACGGGTCACGAGGGCGGCTAGGGCCTAGGGCAGAAGCGTGGGCGGGCGAGAGGAACCTAACCTGCTCTGATACCATGTTAGAAAGAGAGAATGATTGACTAGTGTGAGAAACCTAGAATATGTGCCTGTTGGGGTTGTGCTTACTTGAAGCACACACCTAGGCTAGCCTATAACTTCTACATACAGCATATGTATAAGTTGACACTGGAGACTAAGTATAGAATCTGCAACCACAAGTATTTAACCAAGGATCTTTGCTGGAATGGTAGACTAGTAAAACGGTGGAAGTCTTATAGGAGTGAACCTGAGCACATGAACTTGTGGGTAGTCGAAGGTTGAATAACCTGAGCACATAATTTTGTGTAAAGTCAAGGTTAATAATAGAAAAGCATCACAAATATTTATAGCTCTAGGAAAGTACCTGTTCAGCTAGTTGCGCGCTATGCGACCTATTCATCATTCTATGGGATCGCGACTGTTCGCGTTACTGAAACGACTCGTTACACCTACTCGCGTAACAAACGATATGCTGACGTAATCCCGAGACGCGCAATGCTTTGGTGACGTCATCACTCGGACCTGCTTCCTTACCAAGAAACTCGATACTGCGAACTACACTGAAATTGGAACTTGCAGGAATGCAAAACTTCATTTATCACAACAGGACGAAAGCATACGAAAAGGAGAAGGAATTTGAAGGGTCGCAAAGGGAGGTTGAGATTGACCGTTGCGACTGCAAAGGTGGACACCTGTTACTGTGGCTGGACTTTTAGTATTACCCTGAGCACCTTCTCTGACATTTGCCATTTCCACTATCCAGTCTAGTGGGTGTGTCGCACATGTCTTGCGTTTTGTTAGACTATGTAGGGTTGTGACGAAGGGAGCTTAACTCATTAGGTTATATTTCCTTGGTAAGGACAACTAGTATGTCACTATTCACATTTTATCAGCACAACTATTACGTACATTCTGCGTTTGCAATTTGGGCCGCGATTTTCTTCTCTTTCTCAGTACAGATGTATTTTCACCGATTTTTATAATTTCGACCGTGTAGAGAAGACGTCCATGAAAGGAAGGATAATTTACTGGCTTCGAAAGTATACCATTCGTCTTCTCGGCGGCGGTGCCTTTCCCAGAACACCACCATGATGATTTTTGCAGCATTTCGTAAAACTAAAAAAGCATTCCCTTCCCCAGGCTCAGCATTGAGCAGCACTGGATTGAACCCCAGCAAGGTTGAACCAAGCAACTGACGACGATGCCACAGCTAGGACACATGTGTCGCATGCCACCTCCACGTAACTTCCTCCCGATGCCAATGCAGATACCTAGGATTGCAGAGCAGGGAAACTAGAGAGAGGCAGGAGGCAAAGTTGATGGAAGCTAAACAAGAGCAGCAGGGGATGGGGAGGGAAAGGGTGGAAGGAGCAGAAAGTGGGGACCCACAATTGTCCATTCTTGCAACAGGGCGGCAACAAGACAGTACTTGAAGCAGAATCTCGAAGAGGAAGACAGCGACAAAGTGGGTGGGGGGGGAAGGGGGGGGTGTGGGGGTTACAAATGGCCATTGAAGCAAGGGGCGGGACGTGCAAGGCGCTCAGGTTCTATGAGTGGTGTTATATTCTGTCTGACACGTCCTCCGAGGAGATTCAGAACGAGGAATAAGGGTTTAATCATTGCGCCACGCAGAAAAGGAGAGAACGATACACAAGTGAAGTGAGAAGCAGCCGCGCTTCAGCGACTTCACAAGAAATTGGCTGATTCGACAGCTGTTTGCGCAGCACCAAGGACACCCGAACACAGCTCATTCAGGAGAATCCTGAACTTCCCCAAGATCTGCCAGACGAAGTGCATAGATACTGTACGGTAGCAATGTGGAGGGAGCCACAGCCCCTGGCAACCACTAGGATACACGGCAGAGGGGAAAGCGATGCTCCCACACACTACAAGCGATGTGGCGCCATGCTCGTAGCCACTGCAGGCTTGGGCTCTCGGCCCCTGGTGGGGGGCCGAGATCGCTGCTATGGGGACTTATAGGCGCGGTGGGACACGACCAACACGCAATAGCGAAGCCAGGAAGAGGATAAATTAGGAACAGAGAGAGGAGGAAGCGGGAAAGGGGAGGAAGGGTGAGAGGGATGGGTCGAGTAGGGTGGAGAAAGGTGTACTGGGAAGGTGAGATGGAGCCGGGGAGTCAGACGAGAATGGATTTTGCCTCAAAGGGTTAAACTCACGAGCCTTGCCGAAGCAAGGGTGTCGTACATCTAATTGAATCATCACCCCCCCCCGCCTCCACCACGCATCGTCCGAACAGCACATCTCACACCATAAACCCGGCATTTCTCCATGAGCCAAAACCCTAGCAGAGTGGGTCAGCCAGCAGCAGAGCTGCGCGTGTCGTCAGCGGCTCAAGCCATCAGAAACACGGACCAAAGTAGTTTCTTCACCCCCACAGATGCACAAGACCAGGAGATGAAGACTAATAAGCAGGAAACTAAACAGAGGGACTGACGACGGAAAGGGGGGATGGAAGGCGCGAAGAGGGAGGATCAGAAACAGCCTCTGAGTGATGTGAAGCATCAGCTGAGCGCTCGAGGCACTCAGGGTCAGGAAAAGGTCAAGAACTCTTGTCACATCACATCCTCGCCAAGGTAAAAAGGTAACTCGAAACCCGCATTATCGGGGATATAAGGAATGTGGGCAGGTTCATAGTTGAGGCAAGGCGGGGGGCGAAGCAAGGCCTCAGTGGAGAAACGCCCAGTGGTTGTCTGGCCACTGCGGCCCCTCACTCCCCCCGTCTGACCCGAGGGCGCAGAGGGGGGAGGGAAAGACCACGCTCTCATCTCAGGGACGGTTTCTGGTGGCCCCGGCATTGGGATTGCCGAGAACAAAGGGATGACCGACCCTTGGATTGGCGCTCTCAAGGAAGTGATGCAAATCAGGCACCGAGGAATAAAAACGAGAAAACGGACAACGATTGTAGGTGGAAGGACAGTAGGCGCTCAGCCTGAGGAATTAAGGATAATTAAAAGATGCGTTGTCTATCACTCCCTCGAAGAGAGAAAGGTCTTCAGAACTGCATCCGTTTAAATCACTGCGCCTTTCCGCCTTCAAGGGATAAGGCTCGTTTTAAGAACCTCATGAATGCAGCAGCACAGAAGTCTAAAAACTGCGGAGTGCCCTCAGGTACTAAGGGATATAGTCATCAGGAGAAGCACAGCCGCTGAGCTGGCCTCAGGTCTCAAAGATTAAAGCATCACGGGGCAAGGACGGAAGATACGGCATGCAAGACACGACGGCAGTGAAATGTACGAGGGAAGAGGGAAACAGAGTAGAATGACGCGTGGATCACCCGCTGGTCGTCAGATTCGAAAGCTCAGGCTCAGCAATGGCGACATCTTGTGCCGCGCTCAGACGACCGTCGTGAAACTAGGCGATTCATCCCTCGCAGCGGGCGGATCCACGCGTGAAACGACGCAATAATAGAACGTCCGGAAAGCAGCCGGTAGAATAAGTGCGAAAGAATTGAAACACAGGGAAAGAACGAGTATGAAACGACACAGTGCCGAATCAAGGACACAACTTCTCCTTGAGAGCTCAGAGACAAGAATCGTCTCACTGGCAGCGATGCTGCCTCTGAAGGCCAACGCGACATGCTCCTGTCAGATACTCATCACAGCTCTTTAACGCGCACACGGGCGCCCAATTCCCTCACAGGGAAGCTCCGACACCAAGAGAATTCTCAAACAGAGAATATCGCGTGGAGGAATAACGGACACACGGCGGTAAGGAAGTGGAGAGATTGGCAACGGGGAACAAGAAATGGGTGAGACGGGTGAGAGCGGCCGGGATCGTCGGAGACTTAAACCGGTACACACGTGCCAGAGCCGTGTAGACAGCTGGCTTCATATTGTTGCAGTGTTGTAACTTCGTCATGCGATCACCGGGCCCCACCCAACAAAGAAGACAAAGGGTTTAGGGAGACGAAACGCAATGGAATAAATCCGATTCAGGGCCCGGTGAGAGGTTGCTCGTGCCGGCGCCGGAAGGCAAGCCGTCATCAGAGTGCCGGTTGTCGTAGTCAGTGCCCCGTTGTCGCGAAGAAATGACACGCAGACACGTCACGCAGCCACGTCACGCAGCGGCTCCCGTCACGTCGAGGTTCATCGTGAGGCGGTGACGTCACTCGCTCATTGTGATCTGCGGAAGTGATAGGGCAAGCAGGAGAGGACCGTGAGACGCAAATCGGAGGAAGGAGGTACTGTCGAGCAGGGACAGACAATGGACCGCTCTCGCCAAGAGGCCAACTCCGGCAGTGGCGAAAGCATCGGAATAAACGAGACGCAAACGACGAGGGGCTCACCGTTCTCCTCCAGTTCGTCGCATGGCGGCCTGGACAGCGTAAGGGAGTAAAAGGCAGGCCTGAAAGGCTCCTACCTAGCTGGAGCTGAGGCAATGAGGCAAGGGATAAAGACAGCATCGTGACTGGGATGCAACATGTATGGACGTGGAGTAGGCATGGGTGAAGGAGAGGGAGGGCGAGGAGTACAAGCAGGGGGAAGCAGGGCGATGTAGGTGGTGCACCACCTTACGACGATACGATCACCCAGTCTACAAGTACATCGGAATCTTTGCACAGCACTTCCTCCTTGCAAAGTTATTTCAAGATACACCATAACAACACTTTCTAAAGTCACGCCTCCATTATGCATTCTTCCACTAATAAACTACAATGTACCACATCACACTAATTCACAACGTTCTATGCCCAATAAAACATACCCCATTTCAAGCATCAAACACACGATATGCAGCCTCTACTCGGGCGCGGCAAACAGGACAAGCCGAGTTCCTCGTTCGCACAACCCGGGAGCAAGAAACGCAACACACCCTATGTCCACATGGCACAAACACGGCCTTGCGCCTGCGATGCAAGCACACCACACAGATCTCCCCCTCACACTTTGCACCCTCTCCCTCCACCACAACCATCTCATCCACTTCGCCACATTGCATGAGACTGTCCAGATCTTTTGGCACAGTTGAACTTGAAACTCCACTTGGTTCGCGTTCAGTGATCGCTGCTTGGCCCACCACGAGCGCTTGGTCTGCTGCCTGATTAAGTGCATCCATCATTGTTGACATGAGCTTTTTCTGCAGCCGCAATTGCAACACGCCCTCAATCAGGCGCCTCATCGACTCGAGCTCTGCCTGCAACTGCTGCTGCCACTGCCTCCATGCTCGGTGCTGACGATATGCTCTGATAAGGGGATGAGACAGAGATGAATGAATGGGAGGAGGGGAGTTAAGGAAAGCGGACATTAGAGTGCAGCAGCAGGAGCAACGACAGCAGTACACCCCATCCCAGCAACAATTTGAAAGCCTAGAACCATGCCCCAAACCCATCAATCCATAGTCACACACACACCTCTACACCGCAAAGCCAACCATTCCCACAGCAGCAGCATCGTACGGCAACCATAATTTCAATAATGTAGAAACACGGCCACAATATGCCCACTTAGCCACACCCATCCATTGGCACTCACCCCCACACAGCTAAGCCAACGATGCCAAGAGCAGCAGCAAACAGCACAACACACCATCCCCGCTGAAATCTCCACTTGTGAGTCAGCTTCCAAATCATGCCTGCGGCGAGCGGAGAGCGGAGAAAGATTGGCGAAGGAAAGGAGGATGGCGATGGAACTTAGCTTGCCAGGTCATGCTTGTTTTGGTGTCGGGGAAACCGGAGGGAGCGGAGAGGGGAGAAAGGTGGTGAATGCTTTAGCTTCCGAATCATGCCTGCTTTAGACTCAAGGAGAGTGGCGGAAGAGGAGGCTGAAGGGGCAAAAGAGGGCTGGTATGGTGATTTGGGAGATAGTACGTACACCCATATGGGAAAATGATGGTACGTACACCCATATGGGAATACGATGGTACGTACACTTATATGGAAATATGATGGTACGTACACCCATATGGGAGTATGATGGTACGTACACCCATGTGGGAGTATGATGGTACACCCATGTGAGAGTATGATGGTACGTACACCCGTGTGGGAATATAATGGTACGTTCACCCGTATGCGAATATGATGGTACATACACCCGTATGGGAATATGATGGTACGTACACCCGTATGGGAATATGATGGTACGTACACCCGTATGGGAATATGATGGTACGTACACCCGTATGGGAATATGATGGTACGTACACCCGTATGAGAATATCATGGTACGTAAACCCATATGGGAATATGACGGTACGTACACCCATACATGGTGCTGCGTCCAGGGCACTCATATGAAGTGCGCGAATCGCTGAGAGGTTGGCCGTCGAATCCTCGCCTCACGTGGCCGACAGCTGTCACCTTTTGAGCGGTCGGAAACACATTGTCATCCATGCGTAGGCCAATCTGGGGCGGTGTTTAGGGGGAGGGAAGTGTGTGGAAAGAGATGGCTCACTACAATGGAGGTTCACCACAAGATGGGTTCAGTAAAAGCTAAGGTGACTATTAATTGGGCTAACTGTAGGATGGATGATCACTATGTTTGGGTCAGCACCTGATACAGAATCAGTAGCGCAGGGGGCTTCCCCTGTAATTTCCATCTTTCACAGTCAATTTTCGCTTCACAATCATGCAAGGCAACTTCTGAGTCAAGATTTGAGTCGACTGCAAAAGTCGTCCCCTGTGCTTCCTCCTTCCCACTATTTCAGCCCGCTCCACAATGCAGCACGGCTGCGTTACGCCGTGCAATTGCACTGCAGCACCAGTACGGCGTCAGTCCCTCACAACGCTCTTTCGCACGTACAATTGACGTAGCTGTACTTTCGAACGCATTCTTCTTTTACAATTCAAAATGCTTCTCCCCTTTCTCGTCCCTTCCCATTGTCCCCCTTACTGTCTCTGTGCGCTCCACAATCGTGCAACGCTTCTGGGAGGCGTGTCGTGGCTGCTGCAGGGAGGATTCAAGCCACTGGAGGGCCCAATCCTGACTGGAGAGCTGCACGGAGCTTCTCACCGCCACTAGCTCATGCGGATCGATGCTATCTGCCAGTGCGCCTGCTGCTGTAACTGCTGCCCCTGCTGCCCCGAGGGGCGTTTCCACCATGCTCCTAGCATTGAAAATAAGTCGCTGCCGTCGCCGCCGCTGCCGCTGCTGCTCCCATCAGCTGGACTCCTAGTAAGTTTCGAGATGTTCATTACGCGCGCTGATTCAAGCGCAGAGATCGATCGCGACATGCGGACCAGCTGACACCACTGATGGCCCGCGTAACATATGCTCCCCACGGCCAGCACCATGCCACAGAGCATCTCCGGGCTTAGCAGAAGCGCGCCAATTATCGGCAACCAGCCGTCGCCGCCGGCGCCGCTGCTGCTACTGCCTGATCGACTGCACCCCCCACTGCTTGACGATGGCATTTCTGTGGGAAGATGGACAAACAGCAGGTCAGATTCAGAGGAATTCCCCCCGCCTCTTCTTGAGAAGACTGAGACACGAGGGCAGTGCGGCATGTCAACTCGGAAAGTTGTAGCGGCGCGTTTGAGGATCCCGGTCCAAAGTCGTAACGTAGGTCGACGCCTGGTACGAAAATTGTGAGATGACCAAGGGGGGATCGGAACTGAAGAGAGTTGCGAGTTACGGCCGACATTTTAGTTGCTTGAGTAGTAATAACTCCTAGGCGGTCGGCCGCCGCTGCTGACTCTACCACATCCAGATTATCTAGATTCACAAGCGGAGGGCGCGAGCGGATCTGCTCCATAACGGGGCGACGCTGGTGCGATACACTATAGAGTACTACTAATCTATTAAAACATTTATATTAATATGCGGAACAGTTGTCACCACTGATGGCCCGCGTAACCTATGCTCCCCACTGCCAGCACCACGCTATGAATACGCTATGAGAACATTTACATTAATAGATGTAACCGATCGTAACATCCATTGTTTTAACCTGTTATACTAGAAAGTGTATTCTGCTTAGTGGGGAATCTGGGGGCAAGAGTTGCGTGACCCCAGGTTGGGTTGGGCAGTGTTCCGCAACGGGTTTGGTGGGTTGGCCGAATTTGCAACAGTGAATGAGGTGGATCTCGCGCGCCACTCAGCGCAGTGAACTGGTGGGCATGAAAAGACAGGATATTGCTGCCGTGACTCGGAATTGCTGTTTGAGCTTCAGCGATGGACACGTGGCGCGAAGTTTTGCCATGAGACATGAGACGGGTTTTTAGGTTAGCGGTAACCCTTACTGGAGTTTTACTCTTTTGAGTAACATTTAGCCCTTTCACGGAAGGGTTTCTCATTGTTCCAACCCTCCCGGGCCAGTTTTTTGTTCTTTGAGGTTAGTTCGCACCACAGAAGACCACGCGTCACAATCTCCTTGCTCCGTCACTTTGGGGCTACTGAACTCTGTTTTCCTGCGATATTGTGGGATCTGTAGTGCTACTGAAAATGGCTGACAACATTCGGGCAGGCTAGCTGGCAAGAAAAAAACTAAAACCCATAGGGGCGAGTATGCCATTCTGGTGGGCATCAACCCTAAATTCGTGGCCCTTTTGCGAGTTTAGGGTTGATGCCATCCAGAATGCCATGCCAGGCCCATAAGGGTTTTATTGTTTCTGCCCTCTGCCCAAGATGAAGGAGATTGTTACACGTGGTTCGCTGTGGAGAGAACTAACCTCGAAGAAAAAAAAACTGTCCCTGGGGGGTTTGATCGGCGAGAAACCCTTCCGTAATAGGGGCTAAACGTGATCCCAAAGAGTAAAACGCTAGTAAGGGTTACCGGTAATCTAAAAACCCGACATGAGACAGACCAATACAGTACTTCACATGACTGAAGTGAGAAAATGCCAAAAGTCACATGAGGTACAGCTTGAGCCCGAGAGAGGAACGCCACCTTTTCGAGCCGCGGGGCTTCTGTCGATTTGGTATTTTGCCGGCTTTCGCTGCTAAAAGCGAGGGATTCAGGGTGAGCTCGTTGGTAACTTTTTTTGTCGCAATAGGGGAAGGTTGGGTGGCAGAGTTCAAATTGCGTATGTAACAACGGTTACGCTGTTTTGCACTGCGACGATCAGAAACAACCCCAAGTGCTGTTTAATTAGCTCAACCAATAGGTCACGAACATGACATTTGCTCACAATTTGTGCGGCTTCGATAAGTGTGCAGTTGTTTCGACCGAATAGGGCTCTAGTTCAGTCAGTTGCCAAGGGGTCATGCCATGCTGAGTCATCGAGGCGTTTCTCGTTTGCGGTGTTCCGCAGATTTCCATTGCGCTCGTGTCTTTCGCGGCTTCGCGAAAAACGCGAAAGGTCATTTGGGCCTGGACGAACCGCCCTCGCGACACCGTCCGAAAATATGTGGCGAAAACCAGAAGGCTGCAACTGCTTCGTCGCTGTCCGCATATTCAGCCCCGCTGTCATGATGACTCAGCACAGTTGTCGGCGCGGGGGACTCTCTCAAAACGGATACTGCCCGTAAACTTCTGCTATTGGGCGAGGGGGTGCAATTGGGATTTTTTTTGGGCAGGGCACTTTGCGGACATTGTTTGTAGCTCTAAATCAGACTGCGATGCAAAATGTTTTAATAGTACACTTAACCCGCGGTATTTCAACACCCTGAAAATGGATAGCAAACGTTTGGCGTATCCTGACGATGTGAAGTTACTGGGGTGCGAAACGCCCCAGTATCTTCACAGGGGTAATCCACCGAACCAAAAAGGTGCTACGCTGTCGCAACCGAGGCTCCCCTGGTCGAAATGTCGCTCTGGGTTGGAATTTCAATGCACCGCCCAAATTTCGTGCGTTCATTGGGTGTATTTTGATCGAGCCAATTAAAAAGCATGCTGCTGATTTCATTTGAATTGGTCAACTCCGATGTGGCAGCTCTACAGTGCTGTCGGTGCTTCCAGAAGCGAGTTTCGTTTCTGCTCCCCCCTAATGACGCGCTCTTGTGCGCAGAGCCACAAAAATTGATAGGCTGTCACCAATTCCGAGCCTATTCAGGTGGCACATTCTCTCGCGGGCCTGGGGCCGCCCATTTCAGTGCGCCCCGAACTGTTGAGGCTTGACCGCCCCACTACGCGACATAGGGTGTGAAAATACTAGGTGTAAAAATACCGCGGGTTAAGTGTACCCATTCGGCGAATACTTACCCCAGAATAAACTGTCGCCTAGGGAATAGGAAGCGTCGACTTAGGGCCTGATACATTTGTGTTCGAAATTCGAACAGAATGCCGGGTTACTGACTTCGCGAAATTCGTCAGAGATTTTCTGAAGACAAACTGCAGCCAGCCTCGGGGACAACAGTGATTTGAGGCTCCTCACTTTTCGGTACAAGCTCGAATTTCGCTACAGATTTCAGCACAACTTCCTCGTCTAACAAATCTATCTCCGAAATCCCGAGTGGCTCCCACCGCCGTGGCTCGCGCTCATCGTCGTCTCTGGGCGCTTCGCCCACGCGCACAGCTCTTCAACGACCCACTCTTGCGCGCTTCATTCATCGTTGGACCATCGGAGCCGCGTCAGCCGCTCCCCCCGTGCTCGCGCCTACGCTCGCTGCGGCTTCGCGTGTTCTGTCGTCGCGTTCTTGGTTCGCCACTTTCGGCGCAAACCGGGCCTGACAATTCCTTATCTCATACCAAGACCCCTCAAATGTAGTTGCTGGCTTAAAAACGTTCCGGTCTCGCCGTTTCAAGCGTTCTATGCCTCTCATGCCCACCCATGGCCGAGCCCCGCCCGTCAACCCACCCGCCTGAGGCCGGTCTATCAGCGGACCCGCCCAGCTCGCAGCTAGACCACTCCTCTCACCCGCACAATGGCCGGCCATCGCCTTCGAAAGAAGCACCACTTCCAAGCTTCACTGTCGTCAACGTGTTCCTATAGTGAGTGGTCTTATTGTGAGCGTTAATACAGCGAGAGGTTTGTAGAGTGAGTGTTCTTACAGCAACTGTTCTTACAGTCAAGCGTTCGACTGCTACAGCGTGAGCGTTCTTAGAGCGGCCATTGCCGCGATATTCGAGCCCCAGCGAGCTACAGCGCAGCAAGGTAACCACCCCTCCCCCATCCTCTTCCCCCCCCTTCCCCTCGACCCCTTCTCTCCAACATCTCCTTCCTCTCCCTGCGCCCACGCGCCCACGCGCCCACGGGCCCACTTTCCCATTTCTCAGTCCCCCGTTAACACAGCGCGAGAGTCTCGCGATCCCTCACGCTGCGAACACAAGTGCAGTGCAGCCAGCCTGGCAGGTGGCGCGGTGGAGGGGAGGAGAGGAGAGTCTCGCACCTCCCATTTGACCGTAGCATTCTCTATTCCCCATTCCCTGTTCCCCCATTTCTCATTCCCCATTCCGCATTCCTAATATACACATTTTCCCTTTCCCCCATGCGCCCACTCTTTTCCCCCCCATTCCCCATTCTCCATTCCCCATTCCCGACTCTCCCATTCCCCATACCCCATTCCCCCACCCCCATTCCCCCATTCCCCATACCCCATTCCCCTACCCCCATTCCCCCATTCCCCATACTCCATCCATTCCCCATGGCCCCTTCCCCATACCTAAACCCATACCTAAACCCGAACCTAAACCTCAAACCCTAAACCCCATGCCCCATTCCCCATACCCCATGCCCCATGCCCCATGCCTGCCCCATACCTCCATCCCCCATGTCCCATGCCCCATGCCCCATGCCCCATTCCCCATGCCCCATGCCCCTTCCCCTATGCCTTATACCCCCATCCCCCATGTCCCATGCCCCATGCCCCATTCCCCATGCCCCATGCCCCTTCCCCTATCCCTTATACCCCCATTCCCCATGTCCCATACCCCATGCCCCATGCCCCATGCCTCATGCCCCATTCCCCATGCCCCATGCCTCATCCCCCATGCCCCATTCTTCTTTCCCCCATCCCCCATGCCCCATTCCTCTTTCCCCCATCCCCCATGCCCCAGCCCCCAGTTCCCAAAAGTGGCAAACGAGCCAACTCCGTCCTTCATGCTTTGAGCTGCAGTCTCGCAGAGCGACTCTTCCACGCTTCCCCATTCTTTTCTCCGTCTTTCGTTCTCCCCACCCACCTGCCCCCCTTCCTTCCCGTCGCACTTCTCCTCACAGTGACAGTCGTGCCAGGCGCCGCCCCTCGTGCAGCGAGCTGCAGTGCAGCAAGGTGCAGGTGGTGCGGTGGAGGGGAGGGGAGGGGCGGAGGGGGTGGGAGGCGGAAGGGGAAGAGGGCGAGGGGGAAGGGACGGGTGAGGGAGGGGATGGTGGGGAGGCAAGGGCGGAAAGGAGGGAGGGAAGGAGGCGCTCCATAGGGAGTGCTGAGGCAGCAGTGCGCACAGGCACAGACACAGGCGTCATGGAGGAGGATGGGGGGTGTGAACGGCCAGCGGATGTGGCGTTGGGAGTGGGTGTGGGGCTCGCAGGAGCCATGGCTGCTCTTGGCTTGCCAACCCAATTCACTGGAGGTGTCCGAAACGAGCAAGCAGCGCAAGAGATGCCGGTGAGTACGACTGAGGCCAGGCGTCAGGTGCTCTTGAGGCTGGGCGTCAGGTACTCTTGAGGCTGGGCGTCAGGTACTCTTGAGGCTGGGCGTCAGGTGCTCTTGAGGCTGGGCGTCAGGTGCTCTTGAGGCTGGGCGTCAGGTGCTCTTGAGGCTGGGCGTCAGGTACTCTTGAGGCTGGGCGTCAGGTGCTCTTGAGGCTGGGCGTCAGGTGCTCTTGAGGCTGGGCGTCAGGTGCTCTTGAGGCTGGGCGTCAGGTACTCTTGAGGCTGGGCGTCAGGTGCTTGCTGTGGCTGTGGGTATGGGGCAGGAGCCATGTCTGCCCTGGGCTTGCCCACACAGCCCAGTGGAGGAGAGTGGACCGAGGATGGTGAATAGTCTTGAGGTGACTCTTCTGGTAAACAGTTTTTAGCTGCCTTGATCTAGGTCTCCAGGTGAATGCGATCAGCTCCCTTGTGCAGCCCAGACTCCACAGGTTTGATTCGCTCCAGCCAGGGCTCCTGGAGTGAGTATCTGAGACGTGTCAACCGCACCCCTTTCCGTGGTGTGGCAGCGTGGTGGGGCGCGTGGAGGGAGGAAGAAGAGGCGAGGGAGAGGGAAGGGACCTGCACAGGCCGCAACGGAGACGGCCGCAACGGAGACGGCTGCAGAAAGAGGGGTGGAGGCTGACGCAGAGGCAGCAACAGAAGGGGTTGCGGCAGAGGTAACTGCAGAGGGCGTTGTAGAGGTAGCAGCACTGGTTGCTGCTGATGCATCCCTAGGGACTGTGACAGGGAACGCAGCAGAGGGTGTAGCAGAGGCCACAAGGCAGACTGCTGATGATGCAGATTTAGGGGCTGCTGCAGAGGGAGTAGCAGAGGGTGTTATGGAGGCAGCAAGGCAGGCTGCTGCTGATGCGGAAGCAGGGGCTCAGGCAGGAACAGTAGCCGAGGGTGCTGCTGCAGAGGCGGCAGCGGGGATGAGCAGGGGGGGAGGGGGAAACGGTGGGGGAGGAGATTTCAGTGCAACGGAAGAGGTGAGGGGTGAGAGACGGGTTGGTGAAAGAGGAGGCGAGGAGCTGCAGAGCAAACGTGGAACAGAAGAACGGGGAGCCGGGGAAACAGCTCTAGGGGTGGGCACTACAGCAACAGAAGCGTGTTCTGAGGCGCTTCAAAGCACAGGAGGGCACGGAGTAGTGGCAACAGGTGTGGCCGGGGCACAATTGGCCAATGCGGGAGAGCACAGTGCAGGAGAGCTGAGTGCAGGCGAAGCAGGAAACGGGTATGATGCCTCTTTTGTTGTAGCAGAGGAGGGCCCATGGCAGGCGGTGTGGGACGCGCACTCCCACTGCGTCTACTTCTGCAATGCAGCGGCTGCCATCACCCAGTGGCACCCGCCCGAGCAGGGCCAGGGTCACGGGCTCGCGTGCTGGGTGGGATGGGCGCCCGAACAGGCTGAAACTGGGGACGGTGTACTTCATCAGGCTGTAGCTGAGGAAGCTGCAGCCGATCAGGTACTAACGGCGCCGGTTGTAGCAGAGGCGGCTGAAGCGCATGAGGCTGTAGCAGCTGGTTATGGGAAGTACTGGCAGCAGCGGTACGGGCTGTTCTCACGGTTTGATGAGGGCGTGCAGCTGGATGCTGACGCGTGGCCCCTTGTCACCCCTGAGGCCATCGCCGCCCACCACGCTGCCATGTGCGCTGCTGCCACGTCAGCATATGGTGCAGGGGATGGTGCTGCCACGTGTGCAGGAGTTGGTGCTGCCACGTCAGGGACTGGTGCAGAGGTCGTAGAGGGGATGGGAGGGAGTGTGGCAGAGCTGGCAGACGAGCAGCAGCAGGATGGTGGGAAGCACGAGGCCAAGGGGGATGATTATGCTGAGGCTAAGGAGGAGGGTGAAGCGGCGGTGAGCATCCAAGGAGGAGGCAGCGGACTGTTAATAGGAGAGGAGAAGTATTTGGGTGGAGCAGGTGCGGTGGTGGATGCGTTTTGTGGGGTGGGTGGCAACACGATTCACCTGGCCGAGCTGTGAGTGTCTCACTCCTCTACTAGGGTGGTGCTGGGCGGGTGGTGGCTGTTGGTGGAGGTGGGTTGGTACGTGGGGTTTGTGGGGTCGGTGGCCACCCAATTCACCTGGCGGATCAGTCAGTATCACCCGCCTTGTCAGCAGTTAAATTGATGCATCACAATTTCCAGTCGCCTCCGATATCAGTTGGCCTGGTGGATTTCTGAGCATTTGAAGTGCCCTATTTGCCGGTTTGGCAAGGCTAGTGATCTCATGCGTCCTGCTTTCATCCAACCCCCCCCCTCTCCCTCCTCCCCCATCCCCCCCTTCTCTCTCCCTCTCCCTCCTCCCCCCTCCCCCCTCCCTCCTCTCCTCGTCCCCATGTGCTTCGCCTCAACACACCTGCCCTCTCCCCTCTCTCTCTGTGCAAGATATTCCTTTTGAGTCGACTCAAAAATCAGCTCTCTGTGCAGGATATTTCTTTTGAGTCGACTCAAAAATCAGCTCTCTGTGCAAGATATTCCTTTTGAGTCAACTAAAAAATCAGCTCTCTGTGCAAGATATTCCTTTTGAGTCGACTCAAAAATCAGCTCTCTCTGCAAGATATTCCTTCTGAGTCGGCTAAAAAATCAGCTCTCTGTGCAAGATATTCCATTTGAGTCGACTCAAAAATCAGCTCTCTGCGCAAGATATTCCTTTGGAGTCGACTCAAAAATCAGCTCTCTGTGCAAGATATTCCTTTTGAGTCGACTAAAAAATCAGCTCTCTGTGCAAGATATTCCTTTTGAGTCAACTCAAAAATCAGCTCTCTGTGCAAGATATTCCTCCCCTCTTGTTTCCAGAGCAACTTACCGCCCTCCTTCTTCCCATCCACCCGCAGTGTTCCCGTCCTCCCCCAGATGCCCCGACCCACGTGTTGGCCATCGCCCTGACTGTGTCTCGCTTAACAGCCATGCATCGCCACGATCCCTCTCCCTGCCAACATCCATGCACTCATATTTCCCTGCGTCGCTCCTGAACTCCGTCCTCCCTGCCCCCGCCCTGCCCCAACCCCCTCTCAGTTGCCCCCACGTGTTGGCCGTAGACATGAGCCTCCCTCGCCTAGCCATGCTCCACCACAACCTCTCCCTCTACGGCCCCCATCTGCCCCATCGAGTGGACGCGCTTTGTGCCGACTTCCTCACCATTGCACCGCGGCTTAAGGTGCGCCTGTGTGCTTGAACACTCCTCTATGACATGCCCCTTTATCCCCATGTGCCAAGATATCCGTGCTCTACACTCCGCTTTTGAGTCGACTCAAAAGCAGATCCATGCTCTACACTCCCATACACGAATGTCACCATTCTAACATTCACATGCTCCCACATTCGGATCTCCCCTATATCCTTATATCCACACATACCCGTTACTTCACTCGACATCCCCGTTCCCGTATACCCATGCACCTTAGTCCCTCCTCCCCTCGCTACATGCATTTGGAAACTGCTGTGTGCCTTATTTGCCTGGGGCGTTTTGCCTGTGGCTCGCGTGCCTGTAGGGCAGGCACCTGATGTGGTCAATGCGCCCACACCCACATGCTCCCACCGTGCATGTCCCCATGCCCCATACTCCCATACCCATGCGTGCACCCCCTGTGCCATGCCTTCGCCTTTTTCTCTACAGGGCAGGCTGATGTGGTCTTCCTGTCTCCCCCATGGGGTGGCCCGGAGTATCTGGACCAATCAGAGTACGACATCTGGACCATGCTGCAACCAGTCAGCGTGTACGTGCCATCCATGGCTGCCCTTATGTCACCAGACCCATGCATACCTTCTGAATCATCGTTCTGCAAACATAGTGCTCCCAGCACAACGTCGATGAGTGCTGTCATGCATGCACTAATGCTATCTTCCCCCTCTGCACCTTTTGCTTCCTTCACCTGTTCTCCTCCCCTCAGTTCTGCCCTGCTGCAGCTGTCGCTGAGAATCGCCCCTTCAGTGGCCATCTACTTGCCTCGCAACACACCCATTCGCCACCTGGAGCAACTCGCCCGCTCAACCACGCCTCCATGCCCCTGCCTGGTGCGTCGCTTGTTTTTGCCACTTCGTTTCCTCTTCGTGTCGTATAGCCACATGGCAAGGTGGAAAAGTAAAACAGCAGTCTACTTTTCCAGCTTAGCTGACAAAAATCGATGTTTCCATCATGTGTTGCAGGTTGAGAGGAATTACTTGAATGGCAAATTTAAAGCCATTACGGTTTACTTTGGTCCTGTTGCTCTGGTTCCTAGTTGTCACAATTGCCATGCTCCTAGTGGGGGGATTTTATGTTGAGTTTGTTTTGAATCTTCACCTACAATGTGTGGGGGGATTTACGTGTGAAACATAACTTAGTATGTTCCTGTAGACTATACAGGTTTGTGCCTTAGAGGGTACAACACACTAGCCTATATTTCCTTGTACCCTCCTATTCTAGTCATTCTTCCATTCTAACATGGTATCATGAGTAGGTTAGGTCCCTCCCGCCCACCAGCGCTTCAGCCCTAGGTCCTAGCCACCTCGCCTGCCCTGTCCCCTAGCGGCCCCGTGGCCCCGTCCCCTAGCGGCCATGTGGCCCCGTCCCCTAGCGGCCCCTCGGCCCCGTCGACCAGCGGCCCCGCGGCCCCGTTCCCTAGCGGCCCCTCGGCACCGTCGACCAGCGGCCCCGCAGCCTCGTTCCCTAGCGGCCCCGCGGCCCCGTCCCCTAGCGGCCATGTGGCCCCGTCCCCTAGCGGCCCCTCGGCCCCGTCGACAAGCAGCCCCGCGGCCCCGTTCCCTAGCGGCCCCTCGGCCCCGTCGACCAGCGGCCCCGCGGCCTCTTTCCTTAGCGGCCCCGCCGCCTCGTCTCCTAGCGGCCACGTGGCCCCTTCCCCTAGTGGCCCCTCGGCCCCGTTGACCAGCGGCCCCGCGGCCCCGTTCCCTAGCGGCCCCGCGGCCCCGTCCCCTAGCGGCCACGTGGCCTCGTCCCCTAGCGGCCACGTGGCCCCGTCCCCAAGCGGCCCCTCGGCCCCATCGACCAGCGGCCCCGCGGCCCCGTTCCCTAGCAGCCCCTCGGCCCCGTCGACCAGCGGCCCCTCAGCCTCGTTCCCTAGTGGCCCCGCGGCCCCGTCCCCTAGCGGCCCCGCGGCCTCGTCCCCTAGCGGCCCCTCGGCCCCGTCGACCAGCGGCCCCGCGGCCCCGTTCCCTAGTGGCCCCTCGGCCCCATCGACCAGCGGCCCCGCGGCCCCGTCCCCTAGCGGCCCAGCGGCCCCGTCCCCTAGCCGGCCCTCCCGCGCCCGCCCGTTAACGGGCCCGCGCCCGCTCGTAGCGGCCCCCGCGCTCGTCCGTAGCGGCCCCTGCGCCTGCTCGTAGCCGGCCCTCGCGCGCCCGTCCGTAGCGGTCCCCTCGCGCCCGTCCGTTAGCTGGCCCCGTGCCCGTCCGTTCTCTGGCCTGCACTGTATCTTACTGCACCGCATTGCACCGCACTGTACCGCACTGCACCTCACTGCACCGCACTGTTCTGCACTGCACCCATTGCACCGCACTGCACCGCAGCTGCATCACTCCTGATGGCAGACTATGTACTGCGGTTTAACGCGGAGGGTCAGCCGATCGAGTTCGACATGTGGCTCGTCGACCTCCGCCGTCACCTCACAGATCAGCGGCAGGACGGCCACTCCCTGGCCGTCCAGCTGGATGGTACACTCCCCTGTCCTGACCCCCCCGCTTCGCTGCCCGCTGACCACACGTCTGCTGATCGAGAGTCCGCTGCTGCTGCTGCCCTTGCCCGCTCGGTCTGGTTGTCGCGTGACGCTATTGCACAGCGTGCCATTAGTCATGCGCTTCCCCTGTCTGAGCGTCCCCGCTTTAGGTCTATCAGGACTGCACGCTCGATGCTGTCATTACTCGCTACTCCACCCCGTCCTCTGCCTCCGTAGGTCGCCTGATCTTGCCCCTGCTTTTCCCTGATCTCGCGTCTTTCCCCACTGTCGCTGACCTAGCCGCCCAGTTGCGCACACTAGACTCGACCTGGCGCTCGGCCTGCACTGGGGCCGAGCTCCGCGTGTTTCAGCCCCCTCTCCCGCATGCCCTCTACCTGCTTGCCACCCGCCTCCCTGACCGCCTTGCCACTGCTCACGATCACTTTCTTAGTGCCCACCCCGCATACCTCACCCTCACTGACTTTGTTGACACCCTGTCTGCCATAGAGACCCGCCAGCGCTCTATCACTCAGTCTAGCGGTACGGTGCCTGTCTCTATCTTTCAGGGCTGTGCGCCCGCTCAGTGCACTTTCTCTGACGGCTCTGCTGCATTGGCTGAGATGGCCGCTGTCGTACAGGCCCGTCCTGGAAAGGGCCGCCGCCCATAGGTTGGGCGTGGTGGTGGGGGTGGTTGGGGTGGAGGAGGTAGTGGAGCCGGGTCGTCTCCGGGGGGTGCTGACGAGGGCCCTGGGCCTAGCACCACCGAGCAGCAGCAGGTTCCTCCGCCCGACCAGCAGCCGTCACAGCAGCAGCCGAAGCAGCCACAGCGGCAGCAGCAGCAACAGCAGCCGCAGCGGCGGGTTGGTCGTCTTCCGCCTGGGTGGCCCGGCGCAAGTGCTGGTGGTGGTCGCGGTGGTCGTGCGCGCGGCGTGATGACAGGTGGTGGTGCGGGCGACGGGCGCTGCCAGTACCAACTTCAGACCGGTCCTCGCCGAGGCCTCGTGTGCGGTAAGACCAGTCACACCACCACTGGCTGTTTCAGTCGCCTTGACGACCTGTCTCGTCTTTGCTTCGGCCCGGCGCCCGACCTCCCTGACTGGCTCAGCTTACTTGGTAGGGGTGTTTAGGTCTTTGATATGGACATGGATGAGATTAGCTCTGCGCTGTATGTTATGTATGTCGATGACTCTAGTGTGATTGGTTCCGCTTACCCCGTATTGCCTTGTGTAGGCGTGCCTAGCTTAGACTCCCCTTCTTCATCAGGCATAGGATCTCCTACTTGTTTAGTCTAGGCTCCTCCATCGCTTCCTTGACCCATCCCACCTCTGCTGCGCTTTCCTTCACGCTGGACTCCGGCGCTTCTCGATGCTTCTTCCGGGACTCCACTACTCTCACGTTGCTTGCCGCTCCCGTCGCAGTTTCCCTGGCTGACCCTTCCTCAGGCCCTGTCGTAGCTCGTAGCTCCAGTACCCTTCCCTATCCGGCGGCTCCTTCGGGCTCGCTTACAGGCCTGCACATCCCCTCATTCTCTAGGAACCTAATTGGTGTCGGCTGCCTCCAGGACCTTGGCGTCACCACTACGTTCCCTGGTCACGAGCGGTACGCTGTCAGTACCGAGGCTGCCACTGGTGCTCCCCTCACTACGTTCCCCCGGGACCCGGTGTTCGGCCTGTTCACGCTGGACACCGCGCCCCCCCCCGGTTGGGGCGTCTCCTCAGGTGCCTGTGTCTCCTCAGGTACCTGCGGCTTGCTCGTGTCGGTCCCTTACGCACCCGACACTCCTGTGGCACCATCGTCTAGGTCACCCTGCCCTCCCTCGTCTTCGTCACATGTCGCAGCACGACCTTGTCTTAGGTCTTCCTGGGTCGTTCCCCGAGCTCACCTCCTCATCCGCGCCGCCGTGCACCCCCTGCATCAAGGGCCGGCTCCGCCGTGCCTCTCGCTCCTCCTCGTTCCCCCCCACCACCGCATCCTTGCAGACCTTGCACATGGACGTCTGGGGCCCTGCACCCGTCCATGGCCCGCGTCGTGAGTGTTACTTCCTCATCCTTGTTGACAACTACACTCGTTGCACCACCGTGTTTCCCTTGTAGCGGAAGGCCGATGTGCCTGACGTTCTTATCTCGTGGCTTGTCTCTGCGCGTGTTCACCGCGGTCTTCCTGTCTTACGTCTTCACTCCGACCGTGGTGGCGAGTTTGCCTATGGCTGCCTTGGTTGCTTCTGTCGTGTGGAGGGCATCACCCAGACGTTCAACCTGCCGGACTCCCCGCAGTAGAATGGGGTCATTGAGCGATGCATCAATTTGGTCATGGAGGTGGCTCGTACCTTCATGATCCATGCCGGTGCACCCCATTTTCTGTGGCCGTTCGCCGTTCGCTACGCCGCTCACCAACTTAAACTGTGGCCGCACCCCCAGCAGTCGCAAGTTTCACCGACCCTTCTTTGGTCTGGGTCTCCAGGCAACGCGTCTGCGTTCCACGTCTAGGGCTGCCTTGCTCACGTTCGTGCCTCTGGCACGAGCTCACTACCTGCACACTCCCCTGTGTCTTCCTAGGTTTCCCCTTCGACTCGTCTGACTGGCACTTCTATCACCCCCCGTCCCCCCGTTTCTTTCACTCTCGCGACGTCACCTGTGACGAGTCCGTCTCCTTTCTACCACCGCTTTCCCCACCGTGGTCCCCAGGTTACTCCCCCCCTGTTCCTGGTCCCTCCTCCCCCAGTCGCCCCTGCCCCCCCTCCTCCCCGCCCTGCCCCGTTTGGTGTGTCTCACGTTACCCCCCTCCCGTCGGTTGTCCCGGTTGAGGAGTCTGCTGACTCTGGTGGCCCTACGTTATAGCCGCAGCCGCCGTAACAGCCGCCGTCGTCGTCGCCACCGCTGCAGCAGCCGCCACCGTTGTCGCCACCGCGGCAGCAGTTTGTGCCTTCTGGGGGTGCTAGCGTTGAGGAGGGTGCTAGTCCTGGGGCTCCTGTCATGGCTTGTCCTGGCGAGCCTGGGGGTGGTACTGGTGCGGAGCGAGCTTCTAGTTCGGGGGGTGTTTCGTCTGGGGGTGCCGGAGTGGAGTGTTCCGGAGGTAGCCGAGGAGCAGCTGGCGGTCCAGGTGTCGGCGTCGTGCAGCTGCCGCAGCAGCAGTCGCCGCCGGTGTCCGCCCTTCGCCTGCTCGGCCTTCCCTCCCCTGACCGCGCATCTCCCCCTCTTCTACCGTCTCCTCCTCTTCCTGTTTTCGGCCCTGTGTTCCCTCCTCCGGACTCGTCTCCGGCTCGCCTTCCCCCTCGTTCCCCTCCTCTGTCTCCTGACCCGACGCCTCCGTCTCACATCTGGTCTCGCCGTCCCTCTCGGGCTCGTCCTGTCTCTCCTGTTCCTCGTTCTCACCCTATGTTGCTTCGTTCCCACGTGTCTCGTCCTCCTCTCCTACCGTCGCCTCCTCCGTCCTCCCCTGCCCTCGGCAGTGACGTCTTGAAGGACCGGCAGTACGACCTTGCTTTCCTGTCTGAGGATGCTCCGCATCCCTGCTCCATGCTGCTAGTCCCTGAGGGTGACCTAGACGCCTTGGACATCCCGACCCCTCGCACTTACGCTGAGGCCACCTCGGGACCTTGGGACTCTCAGTGGATAGTTGCCATGGAGCAGGAGATGGCATCTTGGAGATCCACCGGCACCTACGTCGACGCAGTTCCCCCACCTGGGGTGAACGTAGTCGATGGCCGCTGGCTCTTCAAGGAGAAGCGCCCCCCTGGAGAGCCGCCTGTGTTCAAGGCGCGCT